CTGCTTGATTGTTTTATCGAGATTTGATAAGAAAATGATATATATAGAGAAAAATCACGATCGATTTGCGTATGTTTTTTCCGGCACCCTTCGAAGGTTCCGAAGGTTTCGTTTAACGAACCGCAAAGAGGCTGGTGCAGTTTGTATCCCAGTTGGTCATTAGAATCTTTCTTTTTGCCACCCCTCTTGGATTCGTAATAAATATTACGTCAGGGACCCCTGCCAATTATGCTGAACTACCCGAGCCTCTTTCTCTCTCTCTCTCTTTCTTTCTCTCTCTGTTTCGATGAAAAGTCACAATGCGCGAACATAAGGTCCGATCGGAGTTTCATCGTCACCCCCTCGAAGCTACCACCGTCTCTCCTCCTACCTTTCGCACCCTCCACGCAGTCGAGTGCTCGGAAATCCGTGACTGCGTTATTTTATTAATGCCCACTGTGATCGTCGACATTGCCGCTAACATACCGTCCGATGACGTTGATATATAACGGATTAAATTGCATAATTTGAAATTAAGCGACGCTTTTTAAATAAAACTGAAACTGAAGAGTCCTTCAACCGTGTAATCCAGATTGTAACTAGAAACAGATAATTTAGGAATTAATATTTCATAATTTTTCACATCGAGAGATCACGTATATCACGAACAGCATATTTAATTTAACTTTAAAATTTAGTTAAATCAGGAGATTATACTATATAAATTATTAAACTATCGCTAAATTCTCTCTTTACTTAATCTAAATGTAGTTTAAAAATATCACCTCATTAGATAATATAATATATCGCAAAGTTTAATATAAAAAGCTTTTTCTAAATGTATGACATATTAATGCCTCGTAGAGAGATCTTAATCTTTAACAGTTTACGGAATACATAATACACATAACATTATATACGAAATTTTCATTCAAAAGATAATTAAAAGAAAAGAAATAACGCGTGTTATCTGTTATTTGAGCAACCGTATGAAACGTATCCGATGCTCGTGAAAATCGTATGGCAAAAACCGAAATGTTTCCTTGTTAGCGGCCAATTACCCATAGCGGGCACGTTCGATTTCCGAATGGTGATAAAATTAAACGGGCTTTATTACCAGCCGCCGGCCGCCGCGGAATAACGACGCGGCGGAACGATCGAGGTAACGAGCTGCGTGATATCGCGCGCGATGACGAGCTCCAATCCGCTCCGACCATCGACGCCGCGCCGAAGACCGAAAGAAGATGAAGTGGTTAAGCGCGCGGATCTCAATGGACTGCCAATGCCGGGGATCGCTTTGATGAGGACGCGTGTCGGGTATTAAAGCTACCTTCGCCGACCAGTTCAACCGCACGCGGTCAATTTGCACGAGAATCGACTCTCTCGGTCTCTTTCTCTTCCCCCCCTCTCTCTCTCTCTCTCTCTCTCTCTCTCTCTCGCTCTTCCTCTCCCCCTTTTCTGCCGGTGGTCGCGTCCGTAGCTGCACGGTGGTAAGTTCGCTTTTCGATACCGATCAAATCTGAAAAGCGAGGGGAGGAACGGCTCCCACGTGGGCCGCAATAATCGAGACTAGCTACCGCGAAAGCTCCTCTCGACAATCGCGGCATTTGCGAGATCGGTGATCGACATGTGTTCAAAGCGATACCAGCTAGTCTGTTGCCTTTCAGAATCTCTCGTGATTACTGTGATCTAAACAGGGATGTTTTTTTTAACGAGCGTTTAGCTGTTAGCTTTTAGCGTGTACTTCATTAATATAAATTTTTACTGTTTTTATGACCGCTTAAATTTTGCAAATTAATTTTCTATATCTTTACAGCTTTTGCATTAAAAGAGCTATAAAGGATATATCGTTCAGATAGCTCAATTAATATACAACATTACTTGATTCTAATGTAAATAATTGTATTTTTAAAGAAGAATATATAAAAAAATATTTTAGTAAAATCTTGATATTTTATTTATATATTATTTAACAATAAAGCAATTTTTATAAAACTGATTTATGTTTGTATCTTTCTTACTTGTGTTAAGTAAAATATGTAAAATATTTACGATGAAATACATACTACTTACGCACAACTGCGACACTCGATTTTAATTTGTCCTGGCCTTTACTGCATTCTTTATGATTTGATTTGAAGCCAAGAATCTCGCTGGACCGAATCATTATCCAACATTACCAAATATGTGATTCGGGGATTGACGTTACACTTGGTAGCTTGGTGTGCGGGACCATGTTTGCTATTTGCATAACGAGCTTTGGTCTCGGGGCGCGACATCGGCCGTTCGGGGGCGACGATGCGTGCGAAATTTCGCGCGAGGGTCGTAATCGACACGCCGAGGTTTCCGTTTGCGAAGCGCACGCAACAACGACGTGCGTGCAACGCAGACAGGAGAAAGACGAGAAAGAGAACGAGATATGTCCGTTAAGGTAACGCGATTTCCGAACGCAACACTGCGGCCGTCGACATACTGCGCAGTCAATTAGTTTAATAGGCCGACAGTTGTGTTGTCGCCGCCAAAAGGAAGGGTGGCCCTACGCATCGCATGTCACGCCCTTGCGAAGTATCGTTACTGTCTCGGGGATGGTCACTTTTTAGGGAAGCATCGATAAACACTTTTGTCTGTTTAACTTCAGTGATATCGATCCTTATTATTAATTACGTAACTAAAATAGTCTTACTTTACGTGACTAAATTTACATGACTAAAATAGTCTTTGTATATAATTTTTAATTAGAATGTAATTTTTATTGTGGTGGTTTTTAGATGTAAATTAATTTTTCAATTAGATATAAGTCGATATATCTCTTTCTTTCTCAGATATGTTGTTATCTACATTTAATAATGAAAGGTTACATCACATTTTATTAAATATTATTCTATTTTTAAATAAATACGCGGATAATTTTTTAATGCGAAAATGTTGCTGTAATTTTACATTATTATTAATAAAAAAGTCTTAAATTTATAAAAACAATCTATTTTCAATTTAACGATAATAATCTTTTTGTTCGTAAATGATATTCCACATTTCTCTCAATTGAACGCAATTCTTGCAAAATATAATTATATATATAATTTATATAGATATATAGATAGATTTATATAGGTATAATTTTTATAGAAAGTTCCGCTGCCTTAGACCAGGTTAAAGTTCATTTAAAGGGGAGATTGCCGGGGTCCTGCTAGTCGAAGGTACACACGGGAAGCGTCATGCATAATGTTATTCCTCGTATCTGTTGTAATAACTGTAATCCGTGCACCCTCGATCCTCTCGACACTAATAGTCGAGGGATAATACAGATTACAACCCCCTCGCGCGCTCCCCCCCCTCTCTCTCCCTTCACTACTGTATCCTCCGCCGACGAATCCGCCCTATCCGTGTTCCACTGCCGTTATTCCGTACCGAACGTGTTTGCCACTCGAATAGCAAT